GACAAAAGCTGTATGAAGTGATAACCTGCAGGCGGCCTCCTCACTGCAGGAGATGGGAGTGAAGCGCCGGGCTGGTTTACGGGTCTAATTGCATGACTCAGTAAAGAGAGTGGAAGACTGACATGGGAGAAAAATTCTTGTGGGATTTAACACTTAATGACTCCTATTTTACATGATAAGTCCGAAATCATCATAACTTTGATTTTCTACTTTTATAACTCAAGTTTTTCCACATCAAACCCGCTTCTTCCAAGGAACAACGTCCTGAACAAGGCCTCCTGTCCTCCACCCATCTCTGCATCATCCCGCGTGATCTGTTTCGTCGTTTTGCTTTTTAAAAGAGACGACTCCGTGGTTTGCTTTCTGTTCTTCTTGCACCCTGTCATCACTTGTGTCACGCAGCTGCGCTCTGAAAGTCCGACTGTCAGCAGCAGAAAACAAGCTACAACTTGACTCGACGTGAACTAATGAGATGACATAAGGATTTGACACTGAACAGAAACCGAGGAGACGTAGTGAGGCAGTTCATCACTAAAGGAAAGACGCGTGCTGATTAGTGGCAACAGCCAGCTGAGTCAGAGAAACAGAGCTAAGATAAAAAAAAGAATGGATCGTGCAGAAGAACCGACAGAAAATAGTAAATGTCCAACTTTAAAGGGACAGTGTGTAGTTTTTATTGTTAATCTCTGGAAATATCTATCAAAATGTTGTTGAAAATGAAATAAAAGATGCCCAGTTGTTCAAAAATACGGGCAGCTTCTTAACATATAACCATAAAAATCAGGTCTAAAATACACGGGGGTGGGTCTAAGTCTCAGAGCGACGCCATATTAGATGCTATGTTTCCTTCTACTGGAGCCCTGAAGGACAAAATGCATTTACTGATTTGTAACAAGCAGTTACCAAACTTTCACCATCCATATGGTGGCTGGAGGCTCCAGAAGACACAGGTGGAGGCCTCAACTATCGCCTGGATTAAAGACTACCTGACAAACAGACCACAGTTTGTGAGGCTGAAGAACTGCACATCAAACCAGGCGATCAGTAACACTGGAGCACCACAGGGGACTGTACTCTCACCATTCCTTTTCACCCTGTACACCTCAGACTTCCAGTACAAATCAGAGACCTGTCATCTACAGAAACACTCAGATGACTCTGCAGTTGTCGGGTGTATCAGAGATGGACAGGAAGCTGAGTACAGAGAGCTGGTGGAGCGCTTTGTGGCATGGTGTGGAAACTATCATCTGACCTTGAACGTGAACAAAACAAAGGAGATGATTTTAGACTTCAGAAGAAACAGGGTGGAGTCAAACACTGTTTCCATCATGGGAGAAGAAGTGGAGGTGGTTGAGGAATACAAACACCTTGGAGTTCACCTGGACAACAGACTGGACTGGAGAAAGAACAGCCAAGCCGTTTACAAGAAGGGACACAGCAGACTGCACTTCTTGAGGACGCTTAGGTCCTTCAATGTCTGTAGCAAGATGCTGCAGATCTTCTACAAGTCTGTTGTTGAGAGTGTAATCTCTTCAGCCATCGTCTGTTGGGGTAGCAGCATCAGAAGCAGGGACCTGAAAAGGCTCAACAGCCTAATAACAAAGGCTGGTTCTGTTCTGGGGACGACTGTGGAACCGCTGGAGGAGATCATGCAGAGAAGGATTCTCCAGAGAATCAAGAACATGATGGACAACCCTGAGCATTCTCTTCACAAGACTGTCCGACAACGGAAGAGTGTCTTCAGTCAGAGGCTTCTTCAGTTTGGCTGCAACACTGACCGCTACTGGAGATCCTTCCTGCCAACAGCCGTTGTAATATACAACACCTCTTTGATGACTTGATTATTATTATTATTCTGAGCTACTACAGCAATCAGTTTCCCTCTGGGATTAATAAAGCATTTTTGAATTTGAATTGAATTTGAATAAATGTTGTTGTTTTACACGTTTACCTCTTTACTCATTACCAGTGATGAAAGGGAGTCTGATGTGCTTGTCATTTTGCTGAAGTTTGTACTCCCCAGGGCATTTTGACCCTAATGGGCATCCATTGGTCAGGTCTTATTCCCACACAAAAACACCGCTTGCTTGCAGCAGTTCAGATATCTACTGGCCCTATTGCCAGGAAAATACACACTGGTACTTTAAATGCATTTCTGTGGAATTATACAAAATTACCTAATGACTAAATTGCTTTAATTTGGAGAAACGGCATTTATATTCAGCAAGACTGATATGCTAATGGATAGTCCAGGTGTAGCTGGGACCTGCCATCATAATTAAGCTCTAATCTCTACACTTGCAGGCTCAAGGGCGCCAGATTCCGATTAGAAATAGTTTTGGGGCCAGACAGAGATAATTTCCTCTCTGTCTTACAGTTTGTTGGTCCTCAACCTCTCAAAATCCCAATAATGGACATTAATCTATCCCAATCCGTGCTGATTCATCCACTCTCTCCTTGATGGCATCCATCCTTTGTGCCAATAATGAATCTCGGCCAAAGTCCCAAGCTTACGATTCATCTCGACCATTATGTGAGTCTGTGAATTCACAGCGCGGTGCAAACCATCTCTGAGCTCCGGGATCAGGCCAGTATTCCTCGACAGCTCGTTAATTTTCCGTTAAGCCAGGTAGCCTCCAATGCCGATCAGCAGGAAACCCGACACCAACACCACGAATATCCACACGTCTTCAGAGTCCTCCACAGACAGCTGGTCTGTCCTGGAGGGACATGGGAGCCCCTTCTCCCGTTCTCATCGTTGAAAATATTTTATCAATCGCGTTGAGAGACCAACTGACGAGCTCCATTTTAGTGAATTTCGGTTTCCAGAAAAATGCAGAAGCCGCCACACACACACACACACACACACACACACACACACACACACACACACACACACACACACACACACACACACACACACACACACACACACACACACACACACACACACACACACACACACACACACAGACAAAGGCCTTGAGGATAAGATATGGAGGAGAGGAGAAGAAAAGCGTCTGCACCCTCCAAGAGCCGGAAGAAGTGTGTGTGTGTGTGTGTGTGTGTGTGTGTGTGTTCTGTCTTCTCCATTCCCAGTGAGTCGTGGAGGATGGCTGCTTATACTGAGCCAGGATCCTCTGGAGGTTTCTTCCTGTTAAAAGGGTGTTTTCCTCTCCACTGTCGCTAAATGCTTGCTTAGTATGAGGATTGCTGTAAAGACTCTGACACTAGTCAGTGACTCGATGCAACCTGCTGGGTTCCTTATATAGGAAACTTTTTTCTGATTGGCTTAATGACCTGACCTGGATTGAAATGAAGGTTCTTGAGACGACTCTTGTCGTGATTTGGCGCTTTATAAATATTAAATTGAACTGAACAGGTCAGTGCTTGGTGGCTACTGTTCATGTCCTACAACTGAATTTCTTTCCCTGGTGCTATAAGGAAAAATAGCTCTCAATGCATTTGGGTCTTATTTCACACCAATACAATGTTAACACCCTTCAAAACACGATGGGAGTTTTTCTAAAGAGGCTTTCTTTGTCTTTCTTTGCTTGTCCTTGCTTAAATAACAGTAGTTTCAACATAGTTGACCTCCGACTGCTGGTTGAAAGCTTTTTGAACAGATTTTTGTATCAGTCAAATGACGTAGGCTTTTATTTACAATTAACTTCATTAAAACAGTTTATATTAGATTCAGCTCATTAAATAATGATGCAGATTAAGAGACAGCTGAGTGTGAAATGAGCACAAGAGTAAACAGAATGCATGTTTTATTTGTAATAAACATTTAAATATATTCGGATGGACTTATTAAAAGCAAAGTTAAACTAAACCAAGATTATGATTTTATGAGATGTAAAGTGTTCGTTGCTATAAAAACAAACTGAATAAAAAATAAATGATGCGACTATAAAAAGTTGCACCGAGAGCTAATTAACGGTGCATGGATTATTTTTCTAATGAAGGACAATAGAGGGTACACTTTGCATTGCTAATTATCCCCACAAAGTCACCTCGTGTTATCCTGAGCTGCAGTTATGAAAATAAATTATTGTGTATTCAGTATCCCGGAGAAACGATGACTCAATTCTCATTTCCCAGTGATGTGATTAGAGCTGTGCAGTTAGCTTTAGCTGGAGCAGGTTAGCGGAGTGGAGCGTGGAATTCCAGAAGTGCTTTAATCAGACGGAAAACTGTACAAAAGTCAGATAAACCGTGTAAAAGATTCATCTCAGGTTAAGGAAGACGTGACTGAAGGAGTTCTGTATCCTCGGCATGCGACATCACCCGTTTCCGTGTATTTCTGTACCAAAAGCTTAAAGCTCATCTTCGTTCTGCCAAACGGTCGTCACGTTGTTATTCTGAGTCTTTAATGCATGACTTATAACCTGTTTTGTCGTTCACCCCATAATATCACGTATCTTGATCTCTTCCTCTCTAACAGGATTATTCCTCTAACAGCTGTATCACATCCAGTGCACGTCATCATTTTACACATTTATTTATTTTCACTTATTCCAATAAAATGATTATTTATTTTTTCATCTCTGTTAAAAAAAACACACCTTAATGAGTCTGCTGATGTGGAAGCAGGACCATTCCTATTCCAGTTTTCGACATGCAACACGTATGTCGTGGAATTTATCAATATGTTGATCAATAACCCGTTTCCTGTAGTCGACGAGGAAAAGGAGGCAGTGAGCAGACGAGTCCAACAGTTATAACTGTGGCACAATGCACGAGGCAAAATGTCTCGAACTTCTGTTCACAGAGTTTATTTATACCAAGGGATGAGAAAGAAATGATTGAATGAATGAATGAATGAGAGTGAGTGAGTGAGTGAGTGAGTGAGTGAGAGAGAAAAGAGGCATAAACAACGTTTCCACAGCAATGTCTTACAGTAGAGCTGCTCTGTAATGGGATTATTTCTCTATGTACACCTTTTTTTCCTATTTTAATCTCATTATTTGTATCTTATTGTCCCGTTTTCCCCTCAGAGCCAAGAAGAAGACAAAGCCCTTGAACCTTAAGATCCACAGCAGCGTGGGGAGCTGTGAGAACCTGCCCACGCAGCGGTCGCCCCTCCACACCGAGCGATCGCTGCGCTCCTTCTTCTTCCCCTCCTTCATCCCCTCCACACCTCCTGTCCACGCTGAAACGCCCTCTGCAAGTAAGTGAACTCCGCACGTATCATTCAAATCTGATGGGGATTTTCAAAATAAAATGCATTCAAAAATGACAAATTTGTCAAATAACTCACTTTTCACCTTATTCAATGGTTAATTCCTCAAACTCCCTCTGATTGCTCAACGCCGTTCCACCTCAGGCTGAGAGTGGACATCGTAGACTACATCCTCCACAAGATTCATACAGATCTGATGCAATCGAATATGACAAATGTCACAATTTTCACCAGACAAAAAGTCACTTTTCACCATAACCAAGATCTGAACTTTTATGACATTTTAACAAATCTAATAATTTCCCCGGTTCACCGGCAGTTCATTTAAATTCAAAGTGACTCTTTGAGACTGACATGGGCACTTTGGCTGTTTGCAACACGTTTGTAATTCCTTACGCATTACAGTGCACTGTAAACAAAAACAAAACAAAGCCGTGTTCCTGTATAAAACAAAACCCACGAGGAATCTAGCTGCGCCACAACGGCCGGAGGTGTAGTGCTGCTGCGCACCTTCAACTGCAGAAGCCATCAGGTGACAGTGGAGATGGGAAAAGGCAGAGAAACAGGAGGTGATGTTGTCAGTGAATCGAGTGCTGCACGGTTGTGGCTTAGGGTTGGGAACAGCGGCAGACGTAAATAACTGGTTTGGGCGGCCTCGGCCGAGCATGCTGGTGGGTGGAGGCGTGCCTCAGCATAATCGCTCCTTGCGTGTGTGCGACAGAATTGTTTAACATTTTTTAAAGAGGAAATACAAAAGGGAGCTTTAGATGCATCAGAGGTTTTACCTGCTTACGTGCTGTTTAATGGATGTTTTCAGTGTGGGGCCACGTTTCCATTCAAGGCTCAAGGCTGTACGCATCTTTGTCAAAACAGTCAGAAAGAAAAAGACAAAAACAGAAAAAACAGTCAGAGTCATGCTGATGCCTCCTTAAATTAGATCTTTATTAATCTCTTTAATAAGCACATGGGCAGTCTCGCCTTGGGCACCAAATTACCTAGAGCCGGCCCTGTTCTGATCCCAGAGAATCGCTAAACCTAGAAAAACTGACTTGAAGTGAATCTACTCATGAACGGGTAAACATTTCACACATCTATAGCTTAACAACTCACTCATCACTCTATTTGGTGAGATGCTGTGATCGTGTCCTCAACTATTAACAAAACGATGTAGATTCATTCACCTGAACTTCAGAGAGCAACTACAAAAGACAAAACAGAACAGATGGAAATGCTGCAGTTTATTTTCCTTCTCTGTTTATAACACAAATGTTCTCAAATTAGTAATCCAGAAGAATTAAGTCTTATGATAACAGTTTCATGCTCTCCCTTAGAAATAGGGTGAGAAGCTTGGTAATCTGGGAAGGGCTCTGAGTAGATCCGCTGCTCCATGTTGAGAAGAGCAAGTGGAGGTGGCTCGTCATCTAGTCAGGATGCCTCCCTGGTGAGGTTTTCCGGGCACGTCCAACCGGGAGGAGACCTGAAGGATGACCCAGGACACGGTGGAGGGACGATGTCTCTCACCTGGCCAGGGAACGCCTTGGGATTCCGCCGGAGGAGCTGGCCCAAGGAGCTGGGGAGAGAGAAGTCTGGGTCTCCCTGCTTAGGCTGCTGCCTCCGCGACCCGACTCTGGATAAGTGGAAGAGAATGGATGGATGGAACTGACTTTTATTCTTTTTATCTTTTGCAAGAGAAGAAGGGAGTCGTTTTTCCAGTCAAACAATCACAGGATGAAAAACATGAGAATTGTATAAATGTGAGAAACTGAGTGATTTACGATCCTAATCAGCACACACACACACACACACACACACACACACACACACACACACACACACACACACACACACACACACACACACACACACACACACACACACACACACACACACACACACACACACACACACACACACACACACACACACACACACACACACACACGCGCGCGCGCACACGCACGCGCGCAAGCTATCCTGGAGCTCATCCTTCTCAGTTTGAAGCTGCCTCTTGAGTCTCTCTGCCGTGGCCTGGTCCTCCTGGAAATGCAGATCTGCCTCCAAGGACTTGATCTTCTTCTCAGCCTCCTTTGCACTGTTGACAGCTTCATTTCTGGACAAACGAAGATCTTGCAGCTCTTTCATTTGGTCTTTCGTTTGAGCCTGAAGTTTTTTCAGCTGCTTCAGCGCGTCGTCTCGTGCTTTATTTGCTAAATCGATCGGTGCTGCGAGGTCAGCCAGGTCCATCTCCAGTTTCTTCCTGGAGGCCAGGGCCTGATGACGTCTACGCTCATCTCATGTCTCTTCTTGCCCTTGTACATGTTGACTATCTCCTCGTTGTAGATGGGCAGGTTCTTGTAGGGGTTGATCACCACACAGAACAGACCGGAGTACGTGTAGATGAGTCCCGAGTAGCATCGCTCCTTCAGGTTGTGCAGCACGGAGGCTTCATTCAGGCAGGGGAGCTCTGCCATGTCCTCCACCTTGCTGAATTTGGGAGGATTCATTTTCTGGATATCATCTTTGTTGACCTTCACCTTCTTGCCAGAGTCTGACAGCTCCACACACACTCGTCTCCCTGCTCCTCCTTCAGCGAGCCGGCTTCGTAGCCCACCTTCTCACTGGGAACCCACACCAGCTTCGTGGAGGCCCAGTCGGCCTGAGCCAGGGCGTTGTTGACCTCGCTGCGGTCCCCATACAGGATCTTGCTTGCATCAGTCATGGTGGCTGGATTTCAGCCGCAGGCTCCGCAGCAGAGTTCTTCCTGGTTCTGTCTCTGCCCTCGGTTCCGGCTGACGTCTCGATCGGTGTACCCTAGAGCCAAGAGAATCCGTCTAACAGTTCGGAGCCCGACTTTGTTGGTGAATTCTCTAAAAGGAAGATTTGTGACTCTCAATAATTTCAACATTGTGTTCATACCAACATTTGGTCAAACCACCTGGAAATCACCAGAAACCGCTGAAACTGAATGAATTTCTTGTAAAACGGAGGAATAATGTGATTTTTATTTTGAAGGAGTCAATCCAAACCTTCTTTATGAGGCCCGTCTAGGGACTTATGTTGGAAGCACCTTGGATCAGTTTTATTTCATCAGTTTTATTGAGTCAACAGGTGCCGTGCCAATTATAAGTTGACATTTGAACGAAAGTCCAGGATTTTCTGCTGGTTTTAGGGAAGTCTTATTCACTCTTTTCAAATATTAAAAACTAGACAAGCTGTGGACTTCTCAGCATTTAAACGTGTTAGAGGAGCTGCTGATCGTCCTTCAGGAACAGTTTCTCCGTCAGATTTAGGCCTTGATAGACATTTCCCACAAACATGCTGCGGTGGCGCCATTTTTTATTTTTGCTGTTTGGAAACCGATCGTCACGTGACTTTGCTTCACTGAACAGCTTTGCTCTGGTTTGTCACGCCCACTGGTCTGCAGACCTTATTTCCAGTCACGACCTTTCACCTGCAAAATGTGACAGAACATTTGTGTAAATGTGAGAAAAAATGACGTCCTTTGTAACCAAAGTCACACCTCACACACACCTTTTCTAACGACCTTCAGGTCTTCTATGAAGGATCCAGTGGGAGGTCATGTGACAGCTGATCTCAAACGAGCTCAAAAGAGGCGATATTTTGTGATTAAACGTAGAAAATATTTAAAAATCATCACTTTGCTTTAATCGCCTAAACCAGCATTCTTCATATGATCAGGTCCTCTTTCAAAGAAAAACCCAACTTTTATTTATTTTATGTTTTCTTGCTGAATTCTTCAAGCAGAACGAAGCATGTGAGCTTAAACGGAGCCTCTTTATGACTGTTAACAGGCAACCATCCTAGCACTCTCGCCACAAATGAGCGGAGAAGCCATAAAACCAGCGATCTATTTCTGGAGAACACCATAAAAGACACAAAACAAATGACTGACCTCAAATGCAAAAGTAGAAAAAAATTCTAATTTTCCTCAACAGAGTGTGCAGTCGGGCGAGCAACAGCCTCTCCTTCAGTGTTGTTTCCCTGTGAGGAGGAGGGAAGCAATGATGCTGCCAATGAGACGTTGCAGAGCTCCGTTCAATAAAATCAAGAGGAAAATAATGAAAGGACCAATCCAGAACTCTGCCTTTATTAAGGTCTCTGAACGACAATTGACCGGTTTGAAAATCAAGAAATCCAATCAGTGGACATCACTGCACAAGCTGGAAATCAATGAAGTTGTCATCAGACTGGAGAGGAAACAGCAGAAAGTTTTCCTCTGGCTCTTAGACCCCCCGCCACGGGGGTAATGGCTGCTTTTCCCTCTTTCTCTGTTTGACAAGGTCACCATCTACAAGCAACTTTTAACACATAAATGGTAAACGGCCTGTATTTGATACAGCACCGTCTAGAGTCCTGGAACCCCCCAAGGCGCTTTACAACACAATCAGTCATTCACCCATTCACACCCTGGTGGGGATGAGCTACGATGTAGCCACAGCTGCCCTGGGGCGCGCTGACAGAGGCGAGGCTGCCGCGCACTGGCACCACCGGTCCCTCCGACCACCACCAGCAGGCAACGACACAACGACAGTGACAGACTGAGCGGGGCTCGAACCTGCAACCTTCCGATTTGGGGCGAGCGCTTAACTCCTGTGCCACCGTCGCCCCGCGTGATCTCATATTTAGGTCAGTCAGCCTAAAAAGTCCCTAACGTTCACACCGTAGCACGCCATCCTTCTGTTAGTTCAGCGTTTTTACATATTTAGATCTTAAATAGTTCACTAACTTAAAAAAACAAAAGCAACGCGGTCGATGCAACGTGGACGTGTGACTCAAACATGCCACGTAACCCAAAAAAGGAGAGAACCTCCCAACTAATCGGTACACATTACGCTTTGATGTAAACAGCTTAGTGAAGAAAAATAGATGCGTCCCAAGTTCTTATTTTAGGAACGGCGGATGTGTGTTTGTGTGTGAACGCTCGCCTGAGCGTGCAGCCTAATGTTTGTGTGTGTGCAGCCGGTCAGCCGGGATAAACATCCGTCCTGAGTCTAGGTTGGGATTATGGTATCACAGCCATCTCGTACGTCAGGGCCCTGCAGCCAGCAGAATTACCCCCATCCCCTCCGAGGGATGCGAATCAAACAGAAACACAAGATTGGTTGAGAACGTGTGCTGTCTGCTCAGGATGAGTCAGTAGCCAGTCTAAACTGAGCTCCGACTGGCCTGAGAGCTTTTTTAGCTTCCCCAAGGATGTACTGGCCGCGATGAAGGGGTATGTCACATGGACGGTTGGGTTTTAGAGCAGAGAGTATGTTATTGTGTTTAGTGTAGATATTTTATTCTTCTGAGTGAATCACACACTATTTCCACATGTGGAACCAGCCCACACGGTTGATTAGAGCATGAGTGTGTCCAGGGAGTGAGACTGTTTGGCATCTCGTGTTCAAACTCGCTCATCCACATCTCCCTGAATGACAAAATGCTACGGCTTACAGTAGACCGAGCAGGATTAAGGTTTTAGATACAAACTGTATGAATCATCGACTTTCTGTGTCGTTCTTGGCAGATGCAGCACACAGTCAATGAATACTACAGTCCTGCTCCATTGTGAGGAACTTGTGTGGGCCGGATGCAGAGTTTTGCACACATTCATTATCTAAACGGGTCAAGTCAATTCCAAATGTTCAGAAATGATTACGGCATGGACGTAATTTTCACTTTAGAAGTGGGTGGGTGGGGGGGGGCACGGGTGGGGGGGGGGGGGGGGATCTTTACAGTATGCTCTAATGGGAAACCGGCTTCAACACAAACGGTTGTTTTCTGCTTGGTCCTAGAGCTCAACCAGTGTCATTTTAATATAAAGTAATATTGTTTTTGGATGGTAAAAAGTGCAGGGGTCAAAAATTGACTTTGGAAATAGTAGGGGGGACATGTCCCCCCTGTCCCCCCTCCAAAATTACGTCCATGGATTACGGCACATCATTTATTTCACTGGTCATTTTCAGTAAACATCCTGAAATGCGATGCCAGCTGACCAACAGCAGCCTTAGCACAGCACATTAGAGTAGCTGCATCCGGAAAAAGAAAAAAGTCAGACAAACGGCTAAATACAACGCCAACAGTCCAGAAACCCGTCTTAACTCATGGTCCACATGGGATCTGAATCACTTTTGAGTTGTTTTGCTCCTGCTTGATGAAGTAGATCCTTGTTCTTCTGGTGTAAAATGTTCTGCTGACCACAGAGACCCGTTTTCTTGTGTTCGTCTCACCTTTGGCGCCTGCGGCTGTTGGAGCCCACACAGCCAAGAGAGAGAGAGAGACAGCACTGGTTGTGACCACCACCACACCGCTTGGAGATTCAGTCCTGGCATCTGACCAGCTCACACACCTGTTTCAAAACGTGTGTGTGTGTGTGTGTGTGTGTGTGTGTGTGTGTGTGTGTGTGTGTGTGTGTGTGTGTGTGTGTGTGTGTGTGTGTGTGTGATGGAAATGGAGGGAAAGAGAGAGAGAGAGAGAGAGAGAGAGGGAGAGTGTGCGAGTGTGTGCTTGTGGATATAAATGGCTTAAAACGTTCTCCAAACGCTTTGTGCGCAGCTCTCTTTTATATGTCTACATGTGTTCCAGTGACGTCACTCGCTCTCTGTAACCTCGTTTAGATGATTTGCAGTTGCATCACACGTCTCCTAGCAACCAAATGCGGTGGCACATCGGAGGCCCCCTCTGGGACTGGCAGATAAATAACGACTTAAAATAACTTCTAAAACATGGCAAAGAAAAATCCTCATACCACCAGGCAGGATGAGTATTAATTCAGCATTTTATTAAGAATATGAGAATAAAAATACCTTTATTAGTCCCTCAGTGGGGAAATTGCAATATTGCACTGGCTCGGGTACAGCAGGATAGCAGCAGCAGCACACAACATATCACACAGCATTTGTGAATCTGTATCCAAAAAAGCCAATAAATAATATTTTGATTCTTTTAGTTTGTATCTTTAACCTCGATTGTCTTATTTTTGTTTTGTTTTACTGAGCCTGGTGGATTAATTTAATAAGAAAACCTCGACTGTTTCAGATGTTTACCCCGAAGAATTCTCCCATCACTCACTGACTGAAACTAATACCGCCTTAAAGATCTGCTGTCACTGGATCCCATTAAACATCACGTCTAGTCAAGTTAACCGTATTTATAAAGCACTACAACAGCATAAAAGCTTAACAAGCCAAAACAAACAGAAGTTTCCAATAATGCTAAAAATAAGATAAAAGTTCATCAAAAGTAAAAACAAACATATCAAACTGACATAAAAGCTACTAAAAACAGACGCATTCTCAAACTGAATGAAAAGCAACTGAGAACAGATGAGTCTTTAAAAGGGATTAAAAACCCGGCAGTGACGAAACCATCCTAATCTGGATTGGGAGTGCAGTCCACAACCTTGGAGCTGCTACCAAGAAAGCTCCGTCACCCCTGAGCTTTCTCTCCGTTCTCGGCACCTCCAGGAGAAACCGGTCGGCTGACCTCAGTGGCCGAGACGGGGAGCGAGTAACTAAAAGTTCACACAGATACTGCGGAGCAAGGCCGTGTACAGCTTTAATAAAAGAACCTTGTACTGGACCCTAAAATCCACAGGCAGCCAGTGCAGCCAAGCTAAAATTGGGGTGATGTGATCCGCTTTCCCGAACCCGTCAATAGGCGTGCTGCTGCGTTTGAAGATGGGAGAGGTGAGCCTGAGTGAGACCAAGGTACAGTGAGTTGCAACAGTCAAGGCGTGATGTAATGAACGTGTGAATCACCCTCTCAAAGTCATGGGTTGAGAGCAGATGCTTAACCTTGGCGATCCTCCTTAACTGATGAAACCTAGCTTTAGTTAGTGTGAGGTTCCCGTTGCTTTTTGTAGGGAACATTTTTATCCCACTGAAAGCTTCGTTAACCCTTCATGTTGTCTTAAGCTACCAAACTTTATTTATAAAAACGCTTCATGCACCTGCCTGATTTTGTTTTAACGATTATTGCAAACTTTCTGTAAATCCAATAAACTTTGTTTAATTTCTCAGACATCCCTGCGCGTCTCCTTCCGGTTACTGGACACCCCGCTCTGCCCCCTGAGCTACTGCTGAGAGATTTAAATAAAAACAGCTGGAATTTTTCTGGTTATCTAGAAGATATTTGACCTCTGACACAAGACACCTCTTCATGTCTAAACCTTGGGTTGTGAGCAGGAGGCTTAGAGGTTGTGATCAGAGACCAACACCCTCTCTCTTTAAAACAAAATACATGTTTTTGTCTAAATGGATTCAGGCCATTTTAGATGATGTTATTGTTCCTTTACTTCCAGATCATGTAGTCTGTAGCACTCATTATAACGTCACAGAAAACATACGGCTCTTGGAAACCAGTGAACAGGTAAAATCTTAGTGGAGCACCCCTAGATAAGTGTTTTATCACCTTCATCAAATAGTAAGAGTCAGAGGCCTCATGTCAATACCTAGGGATGGGTACCTTTGACATTTGAATCGATCCGGTACTAATTCCCGGTACCTAGGAATCGATACCGGTACTT